TCTAGTTACAGTTAAAGGGGAAGCAGTTGTGGGTAATTTGGCTTTCTTTTGGTGAGCTCCATCCTCAAAGTTGTGAGAGAGCACAATTGTCAGCAGCCTGTGAGCCCCAGGTGATGGATGGAGCTTCTCAGTGGTTCCCCGGTCACAAGTAATGCTCACTGGGGTGGGGATGTTCAACATGGACTGCTGCTTCTGTGGGGGCGGTGTGACCTCCACTTGAGAGGTGGGGCTCACCAAGTTGTTGAACGAAGGTGTTGGTGGACGATCATCCTCCTGGGCCGCTGGCGCAGGAGCCTGGGTAGACTTTTTACTGGGTGGTCCGTGGTCTTTATGGGGCCTTGGGACGTTGGGGTGTTTCTGTGAAACCTGGGAGAGTTTGCAAGGCTGATCCTCCAGCATGCCCGAAACACGAGCCCCATTGGATGGTTCCCTGGGGGCTCCCCCCCCTGGCGTGTGGGGCCCCGCGATGGTGGGGTACTTCTCTGGGTTTTCAAGCCAGGAGGGTATGTGAAGGCCGCCGTCTTCTGTGGCAAAGACCAAGGATGATTTTCTGCGTCCTCTATTTTCCACTGAGAAGACACTGCGCAGGGGTGGAAAATTGCCAGAACCACTCAGTTGAGATGGTCTTCGCCCAGCCTCATCGGTGGTAACAAAATAGGGAGTCCCGGTGGAAGATTTTCGCCGGGGTCCATAGTGAACAATATGGGCATGCTGGCTGGTGTCTATCTCCCATGAGCGTCTCCGCACAGTGCGGTCCTCAGTTTTGTAAATAGGAGCCCCCGAAGATGTTTTCTGGGGGACTCCATCGTCTCCCATATGAAGGCTCAAGGTGACGGGATATCGGCCTCTCTCCGACAGCCACGAGGGCCTATTTAGATACTTCTCATTTCTGAAGGCCACTGGATCCCCGAGGATGTTTTCCAGGTGGGGCTCCACAGTACTGGAGTGCTGGTGGTATGTGGCACATGATGGGCTGAGTGCGGTCGCCTCCTGGATGTCAGGTGGAGAACCAGATGGCTGGCTGATAGTGGTTTGGCCTTGTGGTTCTTGCCCATTGTGCTCCATTGCCAAAGGCAATGAATGCTGTCTGCCTTTGGGATCTCCCTTAGGTCAAAGGCCCCATAATTAAATCTTTCGCTCAACTCTCCAAAAGTAAATACACAAGTTATGAGCTGTGGTGTGTGCCTTGGCTCTGAGGCAGTTCAGTGTTGCAAACAGTCTTATCATCTGTGTGGATTGTGACTCTGTAGCTACACAGCACCTCTATGATGCTCTGTAGGACAGATGGTGTCACAGGTGGCTGGGGCTGAGCCATGTGCTCGCTGATAGTTTTCCGTTGCTGCCCTGTGTGTCTTTGAGAATAGCTACATCTGAGGAAACGTCCATTTATAAGGCTTATAGGTTATGAGGTGGTCTATGGCTGTCAGAAGGGTTCAGATTAACTGAAGGGTGGTCTGTCTCTGGGCAGAGGGTAGATCCGACTCTGGAGGTCTTGTCTTCAACTCCATTTCCATCCTCAAGTGCTTCAGATCCTGTCCCGGGTGAGTTAGGCTGTCTTCTGCACTGCAGTGCAGAGTTCAGCTCAGCACCTTGGACTGAAAGGGATGAGGCACAAGAGGAGCTGTCGAGGAGATGGCAGCGGAAGGAAGCACTTGGGGTTTCTAGGAAGAATTGCCAAAGAAATCTTTACCGTGTCCTAAGGACTGGAAATTGAAAAGTTCTTTCTCTCCAAAGTATGTAAAGCATTCCTGAGGAGCAGGAGAGAATCCTTAGATGTGTGTTTGTGTTGGCTCTGTGGTGGCTCTGCCAAGCTGCCATACATAACTTAAGGCAAGGAAAGTGTCATTTAGGCTCACGGTTTCTGGTGTTTGTGTCAAGGCCACAGAGAGTATGTGACAGGAGAGCCTCTCACAGCATGGTCGCCAGCATGGTAGCTCAAATGCCAGTGCTCATGGCAAAGATTTGTTCCTCTTAGCTCTACTGAGATCAAACCATATCACTGTTAAAAGTACGTGTATAATTCATTATATAATAAATATACATTTATATGTAATGTAATTCAAAAATATAACACCTATACTATGGGATACCTGTAATATACTTATTTTCGTGTACTTCCATGGAATTTCTATTCTGTGCTATAAATAGAAAAGAGGGCAGCACTGACTTTAGTGCTTTACTTTCCTCCTCTCCTCCTCCTCTTTCGTCTTTGTCCTTTGGTGATTCTGGACTTGGAGACTTTGTTTCATGTTTGTTTTCCTTCATTCATTTTTTGGAGGTCAGTTGAAACCCCAAAAGCTGTACACCCTTATGTGTATAATTCAATGAGCTTTGAGCCTTGAATATGCCTATTATAAATCCACAGTTAGGTCAGGAACCAGTGGCTCAGGTCTGTCATCCTAGCTACTCAGGAGACTGAGATCTGAGGATTGCAGTTAGAAGCCAGCTGGAGCAGAAAAGTCCGTGAGACTCTTTAAAAATTTTTTTTTTTTTTTTTGCCAGTCTCGGGGCTTGAATTCAGGACCTGGACACTGTCCCTGAGCTTTTATTGCTCAGAGCTAGTCCCCTACCACTTGAGCCACAGCACTACTTCTGACTCTTCTTATGTGGTAATGAGAAATTGAATTTAGGGCTTCGTGCTTGCATGCTAGGCAAGCATTCTATCACTAAGCCACATTCCCAGCTTGGTGAAACTCTTACGTACAGTAAATTATTAAAACAAACAAAAAAACAAAAGTGGCACTGTGGCTCAAGTGATAGAGCACAAGTCTTGAGCACAATGAGGCCCAGGGACAGGGCTCAGACCCTGAGTTCAAGCCCCAGCACTGACAAAACAGAAACAAAAATGAAAACAATCAAGGTAACACTCAATTATCTCTAAAAATTTTCCTGGGCTGGGAGGGTGGCTGCTCAGTGGTGGAGTGCTTGGCTTACATGCATGAAGCCCTGGGTTCATTCAGTTCCTTAGCACCACAAAAGCAGAGAAAGCCGGAAGTGGTGCTAGCCTTAAGCTGAATTGTTCAGGGGCAGTGCCCAGGCCCAGAGTTCAAGCCCCATGACAAACTACAAAAATAATATTTTTTTCTCTGCCCATCTGTCCTAGGTGGTCTATCCTCTTCTCTTTTGTATTTTCCTTCTTCCTTCTTTAGATTTTCGTGTGTGTGTGTGTGTGTGTGTGTGTGTGTGTGTGTGTGTGTGTGTGTTCACATATCACACTGTTCCTAGTTCTCTCCCCACCCTATGGTGCATACCAGGATAGTGCTCACCCAGGAGTTTGAGGAAGAACCAGCCTGTATCTCAAAGGCTGGCACACACAAGATTTTCCACAGCTGACTCAAAGCCATCTTCTCTTCCTACTCCTTCACTTTCCCTCCCCACCCTCTTCCTATTTCCCGCCTTCTTTTTATGGTCTTCCTCTCCTTCTCCCTTTCTTTCTCCTTCCCTGCCCCTGCTTTTCCCTCTGCCTTCTTTTTTTCTTTTTCTCTGCACCCATCCCTCCCCCTCCTCCTCTCCCATACCCTTTTTTCCTTTTCTCCCACCCCTGCTGGTTTCTTCCTTCTACCCTTCCTCCTCTTCTTTCCACCCCTCTTCCTCCAAGATGATTGCCATTTTCATTTAATAGCAGTATCCCTCCCCTCCCCCACATATCTGTAGTTTTATTTATCAGTGTTTCAGTTACCGAAGTCAACTGTGATCTGAAAATACCCCACTTGGACAGGTCCAGAAGCAAACAGTTTGATCTTCCAAATTGTATGCTCTTGCAGGTACAATAGGGAAATCTCACACTCTCCAGTTCCTCTTGCATGGAGTACAGATGATTCCTTTGTCCAATGGATCCACACAGAAGAAACCTACCCGTTAGTCTCTCAGTAGCCTCCTTCTGATCAGGTGATGTCACTGCTCATGTATCTTAGTGTTCATTTGATAATGGCCCCAAGGTGCAGAAGTAGTTATGATAGCTATTCAAATATGCCAAAGAAAAGACAGAAACTGCTTCCACTTGAGTCACACTCCCAGCTGCTTTTCCTTTAGTTCTTTTTCAGGTGGGGCTCTCACGTTTTTGTGTGGGATCAGCCTCAAACTGTGGTCCTCTCAATCTGCCTCCTCAGGAACAGGGATTATAGGGGTGAGCCACTGAGTCCAGCCCTAAACATTGTTTAATACAAATGAATGCTTTGTCAGATGCATTTTCTCCCTTAGTCTTTACAACAGTGTGGTAAGAACCCATTTTACACATAGACAATGAGGTACAGGGAAGGGAGTGAGGAAAAAATTTAAAATCATACACCTGGGAAATATAAACTCAACTTTGTCTAATTCTAAAAGTCCAGTTCAAAACTACTGTGTGGAATTGCCTATCAGTGAAATGGAGGTCTTTAAGATATAACCCGTTCATCTGCAAGATAAGCTTTCTAACAAATTCATTTCATGCAACTCTAATATGCTCTGTAAAATTAGGTTAATTGACAAAATACTGGTGCCTGGAGAGAACAGAATAAATAAAACCTGGGAAACATAAGTTTGATGGAACTCAGGTTTACCATTAAAAGCAATGTGTTCTGGGTGCTGGTTGCCTACACATGTAATTCTAGCTATTTAGGAGGTTGTGATCAGTTCAGAGGCAGCCCAGGCAGGAAAGTCTGTGAGACTCTTATCTCCAGTTAATCACAGAAAAAGCTGGAAGTGGTGCTGTAGTACAAATGGTAGAGGTCTAGCCTTGAGCAAAAGAGCTTTGGGACAGTGCCCAGGTCCCGAGTTCAAGGCCCAAGACTGAAACAAAAATGAAAGCAGTATCTGTGGAGATGGGAGAGAAAAACTGGGAGAGAGTGAGGAAAGGTTTGACATTGTTCCAAAAGAAGTATACTCTACCTGACTGATGTAAATGCAACTTCTCTTTACATCACCTTCATAATAATGATAGAACTTCTTTAAAGAAATGTCTTTGATCGCTGTCTACCTTTTTTCCCCCCTTAAACTTTTTTCAATATATTTTTTTTCAGATTGACTGTCACTGTCAGTGTCACTGTCACTGTGTTGCCATGACAAATCTCAAACATCTGGACTCTGGAGATCCTCCCACCTCAGCCTTCCCTGGAATCTTGGTCTACAGGTGTGTACCACCTTACTGAGCAAAGTGGCTTTTCTTATCATTCCTGTCATTGAAGTCTGCATATGAGGGACAGAAGCAAGACTGGGAAAGATGTCCTCTTTTTGTGGTAACCAGCTCCCTAAATGCCCGCTGAATATGAAAAGCATTCCAGTTTCTCCAGAAAGCCCTGGCCCCATTCATTGTAGTTGCTGGTAGCACTGGGAGGTTGGGAAGTAGCACACACAGTGATCACAGTGGCCACGGCTGCTAGAGAAGGAAGAGTTGGAGCAGGTGCAGGGCCTGGGAACCAGAATTCAGCAGGAGAGGAAGACCGAGGACTCAAGTGGAAGAGCAGCAGCCACAGTCCTGGGCAGCCAGGGGCCTACAGGGAGCTGGAAGGCTATGGAGGAGGCTCTACTTTATTGCATGCTGTGATCCCTAAACCTGCTAATGCTACACTTCCAGGTGGCTGCAGCAATTTGTACTTGGTACTCATGGGGGTCTTCTCTAGCGCATCACATTTAGGGGTCAGGGTGGTAAACCAAGGCAGGAAACTATGTCACCTAATACTTGTTCTGTATACTCGGCTGGTGTGTGGTGGAGATGCTGGTCTGTACCTAGTGTACACAGGTTCTGCCAACTGTTAGACTCTGGCAGAGCAATGTGCTGTCAGAGCAGCCAGCTTGACTTTAAGGGCATCGGGGTCGTAATAGGTCATGTTCACAGGAGCCCTGAAAAAGAAGAAATCAACCTGAAGTGAAATGAAGAGAGAACCAGTGCTCTCCCCAATTGGTCAACACTGGGAATTATCTGTTAGATTGTTATCACTCTCATAGTAATTGGTAAGGAAGACTAGAGAAGTTATGAGTGAGCCAGAGGCTAACTGTTGTAGTGCATGTCAGGAAGTTCAGCACTTGGGACACTGAACGACATTACAGAGCAGGACCCTCTCTCAAAAAACCAAGGGCTGAAGATCAAGCACAAGTCCCATGAATTCTCAGCATGCCAAAAAAAGAAAAATTATGACCAGATCCACATGTGCCTGTCAGACTGCAAAGCCTCTGCTTTTTACCACAGGTCAGGGTTTCAAACGTGCTGGATAGATGCTCTACCATGTGAGCCATAGCCCTAGCCCATCGTGCTTATTTTTCAAACTGGGTCTCACTTTCTGCTCCACGCTATCCCAAGTAGCTAGGGTGACATGTGTGCACCACTATACCCAGCTTTTTATTGGTTGATACTGGTATCTTGAGAACTTTTTCCCAGACCAGCATCAAACACTGATTTCAATATATATCTCCTGAGTAAGGATTATAGGTGTGAACCTCTGAAAAGCATCATTGTGATAACAAGTTCATGTTCATATCTCATTACCCTTTTTTAGACTGGTGGGGGGGGGGGGGTAAGGAATGTTGGGCCAGACTCATGCTGTAGGTCAGGCTGGCCTGGAACCAGAGATGCCCTCGAACCACAGCCTCTATATTGCTCTGGGATTATAGGCATATACTACCACATCAGGCTGTCTGCTAACCCTTTAATGTTAAAACTTCTATCATCTACTTTTTTTTTTTGTTAGTGGTGGGGCTTGAACTCTGGGCTTGGGCGCTATCCCTGGGCTCTTCAGCTCAAGGCGAGTGCTCTACCGCTTGAGCCACAGCGCTATTTCTCATTTTCTAGTGGTTTATTGGACATAAAGAGTCTCGCAGACTTTCCCAGACTGGCTTTGAACCGTGATCTTCAGATCTCAGCTTCCTGAGTAGCTAGACTTACAGGCATGAGCCACCAGCGCCTGGCTTATCATCTACTTTTTGTTGTTGTTGGTTATAGTGATTGATCTCAGGACCTCAGTACTGTCTCTGAGCCCTTCTGCTCAAGTCTATCGCTCTACCACTGAGCCACAGCACCTCTTTCCTGCCCAAGCTGGCTCTGAACTTCGATGCTCAGATATCAGCCTCCTTAGTAGCTAGGATTACAAGTGTGAGCCACCAGTACCCAGCTCATCTCTATCTACCATCACTGATTAGGACTATCATATGTTTCTTATAGTCAGTGTAAACAGTGACAAGTTACTACTGGGTTTTATGGGGTTTTGTGTTTTGGTGTTTGGTTTTTGGTTGTCTGGCTTGAACTCAGGGCCTGGGCACAGTCCTTGAGCTTCTTTGTGCTCAAGGCTGCTACCCTACCACTTGAACCACAGCACCACTTTTGGTTTCTGAGTGCTTAATTGAGATAAAAAGTCTCACGGGGACTTTTCTGCCCAGGCTCGCTTTGCACCCTAATCCTCAGATCTGAGCCTCCTGAGTAGGTAGGATTACAGGCATAAGCCACCAGCACCCAGCTTTATTCACTTTTTGTGTGTGGGGCTTGAACTTGCTCAAGACTGATGCTCTCCCACTTGAATGACAGCTATATTCTTTGATGCTTAATTAGAGACAATAGTTTTCTTTCAGTGCATTAACTATATCATCCCAACAATGCCTCTGACAACAGGTTTCTGATATGAAATACTTATTAATCTTATTGCAGATGATTTTATGTGAAGTGTCTGTTTTCTCTTAGAATTTTATTTCATTTATTTTTTTGCAGTACTGGAGGTTGAACTTGGGGCCTCGGTCTCACTTGGCTTTTTCACTCAAGCCTAGTGCTCTATTACTTGAGCAACATCTCTACTTCTGGCTTTTTTGCTAGTTATAATTAGAGTGATTCAGATATGTCTGGGTGGTTGGCTTTGAGTCTCAGTCCTCAGATCTCAGCCTCCTGAGTAGCTGGGATTACAAGCATGAGCCACCCAGCACCAGGCCTCTTGGAGTTTTTACAAAAGCCTCAATCTTTGACTGTTTGAGAGTTTACTTAGGAGGTATCAAATTTTGGATCTCTTTTGAGTTCTTCCATCTTAGCGTTTTTCTTTTTGCCTTAAAAAAAATCATTGTCAAGGTGATGTACAGAGGGGTAACAATTACATACATAAGGTTGGGAGTAACGTACTCATTTTTCTCCCACATTCTCTCCTCCCCTCACCAAGTTGTACAGCTTATTTCCAACATATTGTCTTGTGAGTATCTCTGTTACATTGTTGTAGTTGTGTCCCCCCCCCCCCCCCCCCCCCCCGCCCCGTTCTTGAGGCTTGAACTCAGGGTCTGGGCACTGTCCCTGAGCTTTGTACTCAAGGCTAATGCTCTACTACTTTGAGCCACAGCTCCATTTTTGGCTTTTTGTAGTTAATTGGAGCTAAGTATCTCATAGACTTTATTGCCCAGGCTGGCTTTGCACCAGGATCCTCAGATTTCAGCCTCTTGAGTAGTTAGGATGACAGGTGTGAGGCACTTGGTATGTTTGGCATCACTATTTCTTCAAATATTCATTCTTACCTTCCCCTCCCTCCACCTTTGGTGGTCATGGGGCTTGAACTCTGGGCGGTGTCCCTGAGCCCTTCAGTTCAAGGCTAGTGCTCTACCACTTGAGCCACAGTGCCCCTGTCCACTCTCTTTTTAAATGAAATTCCCACCATGAGTTCACTGATACTACTGATAGTATACACATTTCTCTGAAGCTTCATTCATTTCACTTTATTTTTCCTTTCTAATTCTTTAGATTTGATGATCTCAAATGACTTATCTTCAAGTCTTCTGCCTGCTCCTGTGTGCAGGAAAACTCTAGTGAGTTAATCCCCTTGGATCACAACGCCAGTGCTCGGCAGCATATTTACTGGGGAGCTGTGTGTCCTCACAAGCACCTGTTCAGTCTTCAATTTATAGACGAGCCAAAAAGAGGTTGATTTGCTGAGCTCTGGTGGCTCACACCTGTAATCCTAGCTATGTAAGAGGCTGGGGATCAAGATTCTAAATCAGCTCAGACAGATTGTGAGACTTTTATCTCCAGTTAACCAACAAAAAAGCTGGAAGTGAAGGTGTGACTCAAGTGATAGAATTCCAGCCTTGAGCAAAGAAACAAAGCAAGAGTGCAAAGCTGAGTTCAAAGCCTCAGTATAAAACAGACACACACACACACACACACACACACACACACACACACACACACAGTATAAAACAGACACACACACACACACACACACACACACACACACACACACACACACACACACACACACACACACACACACACACACACACACACACACACACACACACACACACACACACGAAACTATACTCCCCAAAAGAGAAGTCTGTGAGAAACTCTGAGAAGTGTTTTATAAAGTAAGCACTCTCGGACTGGAAAGGTGGCTCAGTGGTAGAGTGCTTGTCTTGCGTGCATGAGTTCCTGGGTTTGATTCCTCAGCACCACCTAAGCAGAAAAAGCATAAGTGGCATTGTGTCTCAAGTGGTAGAGCACTAGCCTAGAGGGACAGCACCCAGGCCCAGAGTTCAGGCCTCACAACCAACAACAACAACCACCCCCCCCTCCCCCTGCCCCCCCAAAAAAAAGGACTCAGAACATTCAGCTGAAGAAAAACTGCAGAAAAGGTCAGATAAGTTGATGTTAGGGAATGAACCCTAAGATATGTATTCAAATGTTTTTTTCTTTCAGGTGATTGTTTCTAACACATTTATAAGATTATTTCTTTGTTGCTTTGTATGTCCCTCCCCCACAGTATAACCTCTGCTTTCACTGTATTTGATGTTGGTATAATTAGTGGAGGAGAAGGAAAAAAACAAATCGTTTAAATAGGGATACAGGTGGATCCATTGCAACAATGAGACGTACAAGTTGTTATGTGAAAAAACGAACTTTACAACTTTGGTGAGGGGGGAGGAGATTGGGGAGGGCGGGGAGAATGGGAAGGGATAGGACGGGAAACAAAGGAGGAGGCTACAATGCTTGATAAGAAATGTACTCATTATCTTGCCCATGTAATTGTAACTCCTCTGTACAGTATGTTCACAATAAAAAAAAGAAAAACTGTACTTCATATATAAATGGATCAAGAGGTTTTTCTGAAGTATTATATGATAGTTGTTATCATAACCAGTATCTTAAGCAAAAAGAAAGATGAT